AATACGATAGTTTATATTTTTCTCATCAGAGACATCGACGAGCGCTCTGCTGACAAACTATTAGGACAAAGTACCATAAACCTTATAAAGATACATTCAAATTAGAGCTGCAACTGTCTACTTTTTTTTTGCACAGTGAGAAAAACCATTTTTTGTATGAAAACAAAGTAAATCAATCTGCTATACAGAGCCCACGTTAGTAAGTAATTAGAGAGTAAATCAGATATAATGGAAACAAAAGGTACTTTGAACGTCCTGGAACAAACATAAATTTGCTGCTCTAATTCAAACTTTTCTTCACATAACTACCTACTACTACGGCGTAATCAAGGCTACTCCTCCGTTTGGGGTAATCTTCACCATTTTTTCTGTTTTTTTTACAAAGATTTCTTTCATGTGTTTCTTCGTTCTCAAGTTCTTAGCTTTGACAAACTATTTTTTTTAAACCTTTGGCAGCGATCCGGTAGAAGACACATTCGTTCATATTGTACTTTAGTCTATTTTCTCACTGGTTAGTTCCTTCAAAAGCTTCAATTTCATGCAATTTGCTTTTAGTCTAGATCAGGCATGCAACCATCCCAAGCTGATCGAATATGTTCGGGTACGAAAGGTTTGGTGACCGAACATGTTCGGTAATAAACCGTTCGGCGCCGATTAGCGATTCCTAGTTTGGGATTGGTGCATGCCTAGCTAGAAGTTCGTGCTGAGACGAAATCAAAAGCTAATCAGAAATTTCTGATAATAAAAAAGTAGTAAAAGGCAAAAAAATTCACATAATAAAATCAAAATTTTCCAGAATATCCGATCAATCGAATATTTTAATAAAAATATCCTAGAAAATAGGAAATTTCAAAGAGGTGAGCCGACGACAATTTTGCTTTGAGTTTCTCTTAATGTAAATTTCTGTCAATTTTAAGAAATTTCGTTGACTAAAATGTTTTTGCAGAATTATAATCCAAATAATTTCGCTGAAATTTACTAGAATATCTCATTGAGATAACTTTATTAATTTATTAGGTGTTCATGTATTGACATTGAGTGAATTATTATCTTTAAAATTAAATGGTGTTCATCTACCACAATTAGAATCGATGAAAAAATTACATAATGAGAATGATTCATTAAGAAAATTAATTAGTAATTTAAACATGAATACTAGTGGCTCAAGTGAAAATAATGATTGGCGTTCAACATTAATTCGTTGTTTAGCTGATATTTTCTCTAATGAACAACAACGTCGATTAAACGATCTATCTATGAATGATAGTGTTAATCAAAAAACAACACAATTAGAACAAGAAATTCATCATATGTGTGATTATCAGAGAGATGCTCTTGATAAACTATTTAATCAAGAACGTCTATCATTAATGAAAGAGTTAAATGATACTAAACAACAATTAGTATATATGCGAGAACAATTTAAACAAATTCAACAAAATTTAAAACAAGATTTACAACATAATGATCAAAATAAACGTTTAATTTTATCATCAACACCATATGATGATGATATTAATTCATTTATTTATGATAAAAAAATACCGTATGAATATCAACAACGTATACTTAAACTGTATTTAAAATATTTAAAAACAGAAAGTTATCGTAAAGCACTTATCTATCAAAAACGTTATCTATTAATTTTATTATCCGGTTATGAAGATACAGAAAAATATGCACTTAATGAAATTAAACGATTAGGACAAAATGTAATTATTCCAACAATATCAACATTAAGATATGGACGACAACAATATCAATCGAGAAAATATTATTCATGGAGAACAAATAATCTTCTATTTTTATTTCGTTCACGTGTAAGAGTTGTCATTGCTATAATAAGAATGAAATATCTTATTAACAAATGGCGACAAAAACTAGCATTACGTTAATATATTTATTATGTTTACTTCTTTTTTTTTTTTTCTTAAAATTTTATTTGAACAATTTGTGAAACTCTGACGTCAATATTATATTGTAGGTAAAACCTTTTATTTTATTTTCTATCTCTGCTTTTCATATATACGTACAAATGAATATCTGCATTTGCTGTACAACATTTATTCTTCTCGGTAAAAATATAGATTTCCAAAAAGTGAATTTTGTTTAATTAGCAAGTGCATTAGAGTTAGTTTTTTTTTTTTAATGAAATGTGTACGATACGTCAATGACATATAATATAAACTTTTATTATAGTTGATAGACGTCAGAGTTTCATTGTTTAGTCTAAAACGATCTAGGCTAACAATCTTATTATTTTTACACTATTTAACTGAGTTGAATTAGCACACATCACCACTATTTACACTGCATAGTTACTAAAAAAAATTAAAAAAAAAACGAATTGAAATAATCACTTTACAAATAAAAGTAGTAAAATAGCTTTATGTCTTTTTTTAACAGTTTTTAGCGTAAAAACGTTGCTTTTTTATTTAAATATAATGATAATAAAAAATTCAACTATTTTTATACTTTATTTAATTAATTGAAAATTTTGTTTAATGCTTTATAACTGTGTTACATTTAAAACTGATAACAACTATTATAAAATAGTTATTGATAGTAACCATACATCAGGACTATATAAAGAATGTTTCGATTATATAATAAATCGTACAATATCAGAAAAACTGATGCAGATCAAAATTTAATCGTGTTCGATATATTATTTAGTAATACAGATTTATTTGAACAGTATTTTTCAAAAAATATTCAAAATATTTACAAATTATTTATCCAAGTGATTAATAACAATGAGATTAAAAATATATTAGAAATTCGAATAGAAAATATTTCAAATTTGTTAAGACTAAATTATGACTATTTAAATAATATTCTAAAATCGAACAAGACAATCTATCGATTTTTAATCGATACTCATCTCAGCCTTCTAAATGGATAGATAATGTACGGAAATGTTGGCAGAATACGAATAGTATTAGTACTAATACCGTTTATGCAACAATATTATTAGTTGAATCAATGATAATAATGAAAAATCATCTATCAACAAATAAGTCAACATCTTATACTCATAAACGGAAAATGTTAATAATATGGATATTAACTGTTTCTTGTTTACTACTTTTATGCATTTTAATATCTTTAATGTGGCTCATAATGAAGAAAATCAAAGAAAAGAAAAAATTATTAGAAAAAAAATAAAATAGTATAGCATCGAGTATGGCCGGCCAGTTTTGATAGTCCCGATATGCATCAATATCATACTCGGTCAAAACAAGGCATACGTGGTGTGTTAAAATGTTTGACACAGAATCTTGAATTGATGAAAATAGAATTAACATTAAATACAGACGTATCTGCACCATCTCACATACTTTGTTCAAAAGCAAAGACAATGTTTTAAAAGTGATATCGAATATTTTCGCAATATCTCCATAGCCAAGAGTCTTAGAGAACTCTGGCACGTTTCGTCTTGTTAAGCACATTTTTCGTCATAAATTGAAATCATCACGAGGTCTTGCGGCGTACTTCTGTGATATGAAGACAAGAAAATAGCGAAAAAAAGTGTTGAAATCACGTTTTTGGGCGAATTATGTGGAATGACCGATATAAAGTAATTATTTGTGATACAAAACAAGATATGATTTAATCATCAGTAAGTAATATACAATTGGATCATGCCTACACCGTTATCACCATAATCGTAAAAAAATACTTTAGTTGATCTTATTCTATTTATTTGTTTGTCGCTAATTTATTTTGATCGTAGTAGTATAAACTTTTAATTTCGTCTAACTCATACAAATTACGGGCGATGCACATGTTTTTAATATTTGAAGTCATATTTCAATAATGATACAAGAAGAGAAAAAACTTTTAGTTTGTTTTAAACGAAAATATTCTTTTACTTAAATTTCAGTTGCAATTTATCTCTAATAGAGAGCTATTGTAATTGAATATTGATCATTATTTTAATATTTATCAATTATTATCCACTTTTTAGAATAATTATTAAGTTTTAAAATTTATTCAATATCAGTAAATTTCCTAACAACTGATTAGAGAGAGCATAAAACAAAAAATTTAAGTACATCTAGATTACCACATAAATCGTTGTATGTTCTCATTATCTGGCCATAAGAATGGTTTATTACAAAATACGTATATTGTTACAGCATTAATAATTGTTGCTTGTAATATTTCTAGGAATAATGCTATTTTTGTTGATTGTTTTTCATTTAATTGTAAGCGCAAGAGACAATAGGGTAATATAAAATAGCGAAATTCTAATAATTTTTGTAATACGGTTGCCAATAGAATGCATACTAATAATAGAATAACATTGATTAATGATCGATCATACAATTGTAAATATAATAAAATTGAACAGGAAACATACACCGGTATTAATAAATAACGAAATGCAACATATCGTTTAAAAAATTTCGACCAGATATAAAATGTGTAGTGTCGATTATCGGATATAAGAAATAAATGTTCATAGGTAAAATATTTGATAAATAAAAATGTTAATAATATCAAAAATACTACTACAAATGGATGTTTAAATATAAATTGTCGAAAATTTACTAGATGTTTTTTATTTGTTACGATATGCATTATAATGAAAAATGTTGTATATAAGATAAAATAGGGTAATTGTGCAAAATGTAAAACAAATTGATGATGTTGTTGATGACCAAGAGTAATAGAATAATTATTCTTGATCACCAAACAGATGAATATGATGCAAACAAAAAGATAAAATTTACTAATCCATAATATTCGTTTAAAACAAGTGAAAATAATTGAGTATTCTTTTGTTAGATATTGATAAATTACCTTGAGATATTCAATTGATGATCGTGTTTCACTCTGAGAATAAACATACAAACGAAGTATTTGACTTTGACTACAATTTGAACGAAATTCATTTAATACAGTTAAACCGATTAGATAGAGAACAAGAATTATGTTTGTTTGACGATAAACTATCGAGATAATGGCAAAAATTGAAGCATTAAGATGTTTATTGTAATAATGTAATGTTAATGATGACATGGTAAAAAATAATGAGCCAATATCCGTATAATAGAGAAATGTAAAGAAATATATTAAAGGATGACTGCATAGACATAATGAAGATAGCATACACGACGATGTTTTATAACTGGAACTCTAAAGAAACATAAAGCCATATTAATAACTGCATCTTAGATAACTAAACTATCTATTCTTTGGAAGATTCAAAAGTATGGTTCCGTTTTATCTATACAAACCGTTCTAATAGCACATATTTTCTACTTTTTTTTAATATTGAGCATGAATGATATAAGAAAATAAGTAAGAAATGTCTACATGAAAAAAGGGGGCTGTCGTTTTTCGTCCTTGGTCTTCCCGACATCCGGATAAGTGACGGGATGTTCGGAATCGCGTCTATATAGCATAAAGTCGTTTTTCCGGATGTTCGGAATGAAAGCCGTTCGGGTGTTCCGAATAAAAAGCACGGATGTTCGTAACGAAAACATAAGTTATACAAGACCGATGTGTCCGAAGATCGTAATAGATATATCCGAAAGTTCGGAACAGAAACAGATCGGATGTTCATAACAAAAAGTATTTGTCTCAAAGATATGCTGTAATCTTGTTTCTTTTCTGCTATGAACATCCTGAGTTTTTCATTTCGAACATTCGGAGTTTTTTTTGGTTATCGTTCCAAACATTCGACCTTTTTTCATTCCTATCCTCCAGACTTTTCATTCCGAATATCCAGATTTTTTCAAAAAATCGGGAGTTCGGAACGGACTGCTCTGTCAGATGTCCGTAAGAAAAAGCAAGGACAAAAAAGGGGACACACTTGAAAGAAGAGTGTTGCATAATTCAAGATTCCTCATTACGAGGAAAACGCAAAGTTAATTATTGAACATGGGAGAAAGTGGACTAATTTGTAATAGTGTGAGTTATCTTTCAATTTTCGCGAAAATTACGCCTGTTTTAGGGATTATTCAATATATTCTGGTTTAAAAACATTCTTACAAGGTCAGATAATCACATCTGATACTTTTTATTTATACTGGCATACCTTACAAAACTTGTTCACCGTCGTTTTGTTGTATTTGTTTCAACATCACGACAACTCGTTTAATTGGTTAAACTTTGGTGCAGAACCCTGCAGGTTAAACCTAACCTAACTTAATATAATCTAACCTGTAAGTTAGGTTAGAACTAGATTGTGTTTTCATTTTTTTCGATTTCTTTCTACTTTTGCGCAAACGAAATTTTTTTCTGATTTTGAGGTCCTAATTCTTTGAAAGGTAAAATAAACTCAATGACATGTATGTTTACTTTTGTCAAATATGCGTGTAACGTTCTGTGAGTTGAAAATAAAAAATCATAGGATAGTTTAGGTTAGGACTACGTTGCCGACATCATAAGTTAGATTAGGATTAGATAATTTTAGGATTAGAAATTTTTTATAGGTTAGGTTATAGGCTGCCAAAAAGTGGCAACCTGCAGGGCTCTGCTTTAGTGATAAATAAAAGTTAAGAAGAAAAGTTCAACTGTATTGGATATGGAACTACGACAACAAACTACTATTAAAATCGATTAAGTTTTATACAAATGTATTTCTATTAGCTATTTCTTTGGAGCTTGACTAAAACGGTTCACTATCAGAGTGCTCCATAAAGATATTGATCATTATTTTTTCAGTATCGTGACTCGTTTACTACTACTGGATGTTGCATTCATGGTTCTGTCGCACTCAGTTGATAAAAACAATATGAATATTTATCAACGACATTTTTATGAGCAACACTTGATGCAGTAAATTTAGCAATCAATATTATTTCATGCATGCGCTATAAATGCTTTTTGATCTTGATTTGTACGATCTCATACACTTCTTGCACGTTTACTCATCTCATCAATAATTGCTTTACTATCAAGACATTCTAAACGGTTTTTAAATCTTAATTGTTTGGTTTTTTATTTGACTATTACGAACTTTATAATAATAATAGAAGTTTTAAACACTAATCAATATCGAAGTATACCAAAATGTACTTTAGTTAAATCAGCATTCAACCGACTATTAAGACCAACCATGACACTTGTAGCTTTAGCAAAATCATTTGACCTTATATAACTAAAACTACAAATACTTAGAATTGAATTTTCCATGTCATCTTGACATGTTAATTGTAAATTTCTTTTAACAATGAGTAGCCAAATAAAATTTACATACTATTAAAGCAATATTATTGCGAAGAGACAATAAAATTCTGATTAAATGTGCGAACAAACCTACGTTTCTTATAGTCTCATTCTCACCTCAAAGAGACACGATTCTTCGTAAAAATGAGATAGGCAAAGAAGAAGAAGAAGCATTTAGAAGTTTCAGCATTTTACATTCTTTTGAGACAGCTACGATGAAGTGTTGCTGTCGTTTACTAGGAAACAGATTTTATTGACATCAAGGTAAAAGACTTCTCTAGAATGTTCCTTTTCTGTATGTCTGTAGTATCACCTTTCCTCGTACAATTCATCGGAGATGTTTTTGTAGTTGTAATACTAATTTCTATATTGTTGAGAATTGAACGCTCTTCTCGGCAGATTAAGAGCATGAGGGAACGGATGCGTCATTTTTCTAGGTATGAGACTCACGCAGCTAATCAGTTTCTCTACTCTAATACTACGAATTCATTTAACCTCACTGTCTATATACATATACATACCTCTTTTTCTTCTTGACGTATTTTTCGGTAAACCATAGTAAATATAAATGGTAAGGCTAACATGAACAAAAGATTTGTTAATCTCATCAAGAGTAGTGAACATTTTTCGACATTTAACAATTGATAACTGGTGATAATAAATTCAATAGCTTGGGTAGTTAAGTATAAACCAGGTGGAGTAGTGATACTTGGATCCCACTAAAAAAAAGAGGAGAACAAGAAAAGATGAACAGACACATTATCAGCTGCATAAGTTTTTTAAACAAAACCGGTTTTTTACATGTTTGTAGTTACCAATACAATAATTTTTTGCTTGATGATAGTGAAAATACTCATCCATATAGGGTTCTTTAACATTATTGGTCACGAACTTGAATACAAAGATTGTTGTAACAGCGTACAATGTATAACAAACGACACTCTGAACAGTATACATCATTTTTTATGTTCTAAAAATAAATCCAAACCATTAATAGATGAGAATAACCATGAAAATGACTGTGCATTTACAATATTTATTGCACAGTTAAGACAATTAACTGAATGCAGAGTGTTTTCTCCAAGTTTGTACTACATCTTTTTTCTTTTAGATGAAGCCAAATTCCAAAAACAAAAGTAAAAAGAATGAAACTAACTGTTTAAGAAACAAATAGTTAGTGGAAACGTATGTCATTTAGATCATAGAAGATTGACTGAACCAATAATTTAGAATAAAAGTCTCAGTCAGTTATGTAATAGCGGTCGTGCATACATAACTATAACGTTCATTAATCTATATGGAACATCCACAGAAAACATTACAGACTACCATCACGAATTAAAACTAATAAAGAATTCCCCTGCAGTCATCATGTGCAAGGAAACCAAGTATAGGCAAATCACGTCTAATCCTTCATTCCCTCCAGTACTAGAAAGCTAAGTCCTATTCCAAACCTCCAAAACAATCAATCAATCAATCAATCAATCATTCATTATATAAATATCCAAACAATACCGAGTGAACCGACAAACATTCACAAATAATTACAGAGTATTGATTAAATAGAAATTCTTATTGTTGCGGCGCCATGGATCTGAATTTTTCATCAACACCATTAGAACAACATCCAGCTTTCAGTAGCCCATACATTTGGAACGTCCAATCCAAAGCGAACAAGTTCTGGTACAGTAATACAATAAAATGAGTAACTACATCCTCAGATACATATGCAAAAAGACTCAGCAGCTAAACATAAAAAAAGCCTGTCTTCGTAGCAGTTCACACATAGCAAGATACTGTTTTCATCTTGCTGGTTACCCTGTTCGTTTGTGCTAATATTTTTTGTTGTGAACAAAGAATAGATACTTCTTCATTATGAGATCAATAATGAAGAAGAACTCTGTTACTAATTCTATGAAGTAAATTTGTTCCCTGGACATGTTTGTCGGCGTACGAGGACGTTATGATTTTAAGTTGTTATTAGATAATCATGTAATGATGTGCCAATGAATAAACAAGTTTACAGATCGATGAACATCAAAATTCATTGTACTCGTGTCAGGTTTTAGATGACTGAATCAGCACGATTGTATTTGTCCAAATTCTAACTAGACTATTAACATAATTGAGTATAAAGCGGAGAGAAGATAGTACATACTATAGAGAAATTAGAAGAATGATGTTGACAGGAATCGATTCATGGCTTGTCAATTCAAGATAAAAATAAAAAACCTTTGCCAGTAAGAAAAACATTGAGTATTAACTTTAACCTTAATTCGACTCCATCGAAAAGCGTTCGAAATTTAAGTAGCTATCGTGCAGACTTCATGACTAGAAAACCTTCGCTTCTCCCAAATTTTCCACATTTTCTGCTAAAATTTCTTCTGTTGCTGTCTACCTTCTAATTCGAAAATAAAACGTTAAATAAGTCCTAGAATAGGGCATGTCTAACAGTCAAAAAAAATCAACATAATAATGGAATAATTAAACGCTTGATCAATCCTTTTTTTGCCGAATTGTCTAGCCGAAAGTCAGTCTAAGACTTATTTCAGGGATAAAGTTTATATGTGAATCTCTAGCAGTAACTATGTTTGTTCGTTACTTTCTGCGTTATTTGCTCACTATGTGGTAAAAGTAGAATTGTTGAATGATTTATGTCGATTATAAAACAGAAATATATTAATTTCTCATAAAATACTCAAACTGTTTCTAACACCGATTGTTTTCGATAGAGAGTCTGATAAGAAGGCGATTCTAACTAAAATCATTGTTTACTGATAAAAAAACTATTCTAAAAATGGGTTCAAGGATAAGATTTAATTATTTAAATTAATTGTTCGTTTTGTTGCGTAACTGAATATACATGAAAAGCTGACTTTCTGCCAGAATTGAGTACGTACCAATTCCAAAAACAATTCTGAACTCTGACAAGCACAAATAGATATGTGTTTAGATCATCAAACATGGAGCATGTTCTTATGTTTTTGATTTCCAAGACATATAATACTTCCCAATGAATTATTACATAACAACGCAAAAATAGGTCACTAATATTCTTTTCTACTTCAAATTTGATTAACTACACAATTTGCAAATTTGATCGAATTTTATTTGAATTTTATCAGAAAACACACGAAAATCAATGCACACAGTGTTCATACACATAAAACACGAACAAAACTAAAATTAGGTTTAGATAAACGCAAAAAATCATGCAAAATGAAGCGAAAAAAGTCAGCAAACAGAGTAACACAAAAAAAAGACAATAGTCACGGAAACAAGGTAACACAAGCAGAATAAAAATCGAGCAAAAGAAATAAAATTTGTCAATCGATTTTATACTTTCTCACAATAGTGCAAACATACATTCACACATCTACAATAAAAACATGGTGAGCGCTTTCGTTCAGATCTTATTTCAAAGAAAAAAAAATGAACAAACAAAATTATTACCAAACTGTTTTTTTTGCTTCCAAAATCAAACTTGAAGAACTATTAAATGGAATGAATAATAAAAGCAAAATGACTGGTTTATGGAGAAAACGTGAGAGAGGAACAATATTCGTTGAAAGAAAGCAAGAATCAATGCACGTGTGCATTGTTCGATTATAAATAGAGTTTTTATGCCGCTGTTGTTTCTTCAGTTGACGTTGTATGAGTCGAATTTATACCAGATATTGATGAATTACTAACATTGTTCGGTGGTGTACGATTTTGTTGAGTTTTTTGGCCACTGGATGACGATGAAAATATTCGATTATTATTGCAATCTCGAGCAATATGGCCCGTTTTTCCACATGAGTAACATTTGATATCGAAATCAGGGCAATTACGTGAATAATGACCGCGTTGATTACAACTAAAAATAAAGCAAACTGTAGCTTCTTCTAGAATACATAGAAAATAATAGAGCCACTTATATAATGTACAAAACAAAGCACGTTATGTTGATAAACATTAACTTACTTGTAACATACATCTTTACTATTTGATGATCCGCGATTAATTCCACTTTCTGGACAACTAAAACACATGACTTAGAAGATATTCCTTTAGATTATTATAAAAACTATTCCGTTAGCTTACTTAATGCTAATATGACCAATTCTGTTACAATTATAACAAGTTCGATTATCATCGTCCATCATTGCAGCCGATGCGACACCAGAAGCCAAAGATGTTACGGCACCTCCTGATATAGTTCTCGATGTATCACAATCGCGTGCACTAGAATTAATATGGTCAAACCTTAACATTCAATTATTATTACTTGACTGAATTATTACTCACAAATGTCCGACTTCATTGCAACGATAACATCGACTAGCAGTATCGTTTTGATTATAGTTAGTATTTGTATTAGACAAACTTTTCAATGGTTCAGGACATTCAGATCTGATGTGGCCTAAAGCGAAAATAAATAATAAAATTTCGGATAAAAGCCTTACAATAATGACAGACCTAGTTTTCCACAATTATAACAAGCACCAGGATCAACATCTCGATCACAATCTTTGGCTAAATGACCAAACTCATTGCAATGCTAAAATAAAAGTATTTCCATGCACATTTCATATAAAACAAATAATAAGGTTAATTATAGAATACGTACATAACAACGCTCTTCAGTTTCAAGGCAATCGCGTGCTATATGGCCGCCTCGATTACATCGATAACAACGTGCGCCTCCACTATAATTACCATTCGTTCTTCCGCCACGGTTATTCACATAAACTTGTTGTCTTGAATAGTTGTTGTTTATACGTTTGTTAACACCACCTGTATAGCTACTGTATTCTTCTTCACCATTATCATCATCTCGCGAACGCATACGACATTCTCTTGCAAAATGCCCAGTTCCTCTACAGTTGTAACACAACATTTGATTTATCACTAAAACTACACTCTCACGCTCACCACGCGTTTTCTCCTATACAAATCTAAAACGAAGAAACAAGAACTTTTTATCGTTAGACATATTCATTTAAATATAAATTAACATTTCTAATATCTGAATGTGAGATGTTTATACAAGCACGTGACACATACTGTTTCAATATATGACTAAACTAGCGTCAAAGAGAAATAAATAAGGAGAAATATTAATAAGTTGCCATATCTAAACAAGCTACTGATTATGTTCAACTAGTTCGAGAAAGTGATTTACGCAAGTTCATATTGACATTTCACGATGTGAGTACTCATAAGACACAAGACGGAAAATAGATTTTAAAATTGCTTGGCAGATGTACACTAGTATTTTATTTTTTAATTTCATATCGTCTTAGATCGTGTCTCTCTCAGAGCACACGTCTTTATTCCTCAGAGAACCGTGGGGAAATCAAATCTAGTAAAATGACGCTTTGAGCGTAGGAAACGAGAATCTGGCTAAAATAATCGCGTGACTTCATAGGAGCTGCTGATTTATTAGAACTTTGAAAAATAAACTCTTTAAGAATCACTTTTTATCTCCTAGATTTTGTTTTTTGTTGTATGAATAGGTTAATTGTGAATGGCAAAGCCGAAGAAGATGCCAATAGAGAAATCATACGCCAAGAAATTATATTAAAAAGAGTTGCACAATAGATAGGAATTTAGTCAGCTACACAAAGTCCTGTTCTATCTGGTCAACAGACGAATCTCAACATTTTTGTTACTTGTTTTTTCGAGTTCATTTTAAGGTGTCTCCTCTCTTTTAAGGATCCCCCTGTTAAAAGGTCATAAACAATTTTGCAAATCTATCCTTTATTGTGAAGAGATCAAGTCGACTTTCTTACTTTATTCGAACCACCGACGATCAGTTTTAAAAGACCGTTTTTTTTAGTTTCCTGAGAAAAGTCATTTTTTCTAACTCAGGAGCGAAAAATCGGAATTCTGCCCGTAATTTCAATTTCAAGCAGAACTCAACTTTTATGCAATAAAATATCATATTCGGAATCAACGTCAAAAACTGAATCGAATGATGTACTTCTTCATCACTACTTTAATTTTTTTGAATTTACAAAAAATATTGAGATTTTCACCAAAAAATGAAAGTCGACGAAAAATTTCGAAAGATATATCATTTGACTCAGTTTTTGACGATGAATTCGAATATGATATTTTATTGCATAAAAGTTGAGTTCTGCTTGAAATTGAAAATTACGGACAGAATTCTCATTTTTCGCAAATGAATTTTCTCAGTGACAGAAGAAACGCCATCATTTAAAACTAATCTTCAGTGGTTCGAGTACAGTAAGAAAGTAGACTTGATCTCTTCACAGAAAATGATAGATTTTCAAAATTGTTTATGAACGTTTTACAGGGGGAGTCTAAGTCAATCTTACTGGATAGACTCCAAACTCGACTAGACACCCTCCTCATATCCAGTGTTTGATGTTAAATCAGAAAAAATTAGTTCTGAAACTTGAAAGGAACTTAAAAGTGGAAAATTTAAATTTTTGTGAACCTCAAGTGTTTTTCACATATTTACATCCTTCAAGTTTTCTTCCTCAAAAAATGTTTTTAAACAATTAAAAACCACATTTTCTTAATCAACTCGATACACTCTATTCAATTATGCAATGAAAGGAAAAAAATTCTGCTGTAGTTTTAAATTACTGACACCTTAAAAAAACAAGTTCTTATCTTGCAAAGTCAGAAGAGAGAATTGTCATTTTTAGCTTTTCCGTATAAATAAACAAAAACAGACAATTCTGCAAACTTACATTTTTTACATTAGTATTAGATATAGAGTGTTCGAAGAACATATCGTCGAAATAGTGAAAGTTATTTTAGAATCTAGAAACTTTTAGGTTGATTTTGTTTATTGTTGCTGAAAACGACTAGTTTTTAAACATAGTAGACACTCTTCTGTTTGACACTGATCGATAAAATACATCCGCTGGTTGGAAAATGGAGGCACTATTTTGCTAATGAAGTGGAGAAAATGTGAGACATTCTGCTGGAAAAACGTGTGTCACAATTGATAGTGTGGCGATTTTCTTGTTTTTGACGCTTCATCGTGGTTTGTGGAACTCATTGCGATTTTCTTGTGGATTGAATGTATCTTCCTGTCTCTAGAAGGTTTTATTACTAGCGATATATGAAATAACACATGTAAACTACATCTGTCTGTATGTAATCACAAATTGAACCATGCTATTTATAAAAATGTTAGATTTTGATGACACTTTGCTATTTGATTCGGTCCGAACAAGAATAGCAAATAGTAGAAGTAGAACAAGCATAGAAATACGTTTAACATGAGCTTTTTGAAACTCCACGAGAGTTCCTATTTGTCATTCTCTCGTCTGCTTTTTCTGACAAGTAAAATAAAGAGAAACTGCAAGTGTTTAAGGACTCAAATTTTTAATGCTTGAATGGAACAAAAAAAATACGAAATTAAAATATTTGAAGCAGAATAAGCACACCTCTATATGACCAAAAAACGAAAATATTGACTACCACTATACATATAGATACAATAATCAAATGTTGAAATTACAATAACAATCAAGTATTAACACATTACTAAATAGAGAAAAAGAAAAAAGTCACATGGAAATATCAGACAAAAATGAGTATTGCGGTGGATGTAGAAAAATAAACAAAAACAAGAATAAATTAAATGAAAAGAAAAAAACAGAATAAAAACTATTTTAATTATATCTAAGAAGGTAAATGAGAGTCATTACTTGTTTGAGGTGAACTAAAAATAAGAAAGTAGAAAAATAAACGAATGATAGATTAAGAAACGATTTGTTACATACGCGATATGCAATTCAGCATCCGATTTATAGCTTTCATTATCATCATTGCTCATCGTTGGTGTTTCAGCACTTAAATAATAATGTTATAAAAGCAAAAAGATAATAACTTCAGCCGGGTAATCGTACTTGCTTGATCCACTATTGGTTACTGAGAAAGAAAAGCGACCTTTTTGATAATTGGTGAATGAACTAAACGACAAATATAAATGATGAATTTATCAAAAAAACAAATTTTAATCTATTACCCATCCACTGCTGTCTCAGTCAACACAGATTTTATTGTATTATTTAACGATTCAGATTTATCTACTTTATCTAGAGTACTGTTTTTTCTTAATGATTGTTTTGTCATATTCAAAGATGATACAGTTGGTGAACAGTCGCCGACACTGGTTGTTGTCAATTGAGAAGTACTGCAATCCACTGAAAGAATACAATCAACATGATCTGTACGAAAAGAAGTTAATCTCTGTCTATTTACTTGTACTATCAATCTCATTGTCATCTTTTATTTCTTTTTTCTCTTTTCCATTAGAATGATCTTTCTTTCTTTGTTCGTCATCAAGTCCTTTTTCATCGTTTTCAAAAGATGATGTAGACATTTTTTTACTTAATTTTTGTCGTACGTTAGCAATTTGCTTTTTTAAATTAACTACTCGTTTCGATCGACTACCTAAGTGAATAAAAGAAAAGAACAGTAAACTAAATAAAACTAAAATATTCATCTTGTTACCAATAGAATTGTATTCTTTCAAACGTTGTAACAGTACATCTAAACGTTCTTCAAAGCTAACATTATTATCACTTGTACTTGAAACATGTACATCTAAATATAGAAAAAAAAATCAACATGTTTCTGGCTAGAAACATTTAAATATTTACCATCCATTTCTTCTTCATCGTCTTGATTTTGCTGTAACGATGTTGATAAACGATTAGAATCAGCTTGCGTACTTTCATACACTCGTCTTGCTTGTTTAAGTAATGCTAAACCCTACAACAAACAGCATAAGTTGCAAATTTATTTTTATTTACTCAAATCAACATTTACCTTATCACGTAATTTTGTAGCTGCTTTATAAAAAACAGTATTTGCTTCATTAAAAAAATGACAATTTTTAATTATTAAACCAAAATCATTTTCAAATTGAGCAAAATTTTCATATTCATTAAGCTCGATTTTTTTTCTCATTGTTGAAAAGTCCATTGGATGTGTAATGAAATTATAATAACTTGGAACCTAAATAAAAAATATATATTATTAGAGCTGAAACCTTTGGCACTTCTTAATATGATGTACCTCTTCTCGATCGACGGGTAATTCAAAATGCTGATTTTCATCCAGTTGTTGTAGTTGATCTAATACATGAATTATAAATACACTAAATGGACGTAATTGATTATCTAACACTTGTTTGTCGAGTTTGACCTTTGAAAAGTAGAACAAATTTAATAGATCTCCTACTGTAGCCAAAGTTTATCGATCAATTACCAAATCACGCTTCAATTTCTCTCTTTTACGTATGAGTTCTACGAGCAAACGAGTCTTTTCTAAATCTTGTCTTAGACGACGCCATTGTGTTAGCTGCTCTGCTAAATGTTTGTCATTTCCATCCGAATTCGAAGTCAACTAGTAAAATACAAAAACTATATACAGAGAGCGAAAAGGTTGGCGAATGCATGCGGCATACTTTTTTCTTCGTTGAACGTTGTGTTTGTAATCGCTTTAATAAAGGCACACCACTACGTGACATTCGTTTAAGTGTCCAATATGCCTGAATTCGTTTTATGAAATTATTGCGATCGGAAAACTTTACCTTCTCAAGAACTAATTGCAATCTGAAACAAGCAAAACACAATGTATATCTGTGAAAGTGTAAAAAAGAATAGAAATATACTTTTCTTTTGGTATAACGGGAACAGATATCGAACGATCGGATTTTCGTCTTTCAGCGAGTATTCGTCGTGCCTTTTTCATACGTATTTTTTGTATACGTCTCAATGCTTCTTCACCAGTCTCATTGTCTGAAAAACACGTAGATAGCGTAACATAGCTTCGCGCCATACTATATCATTAACAAACCTTTTTTGGTTTTTCCTTTTGTTTTTGAAGTAACGTGTTCTAATGGCGTATGTGCATGACAATAAGCCCGACGTTTAATTGGTGCTAATTTTGATTTCTTATTTGTTCTTTTATCAACTTTTTCTTGTGTTTGTTGTTGTTGTTGTTCAATATCACATTCATTTTCATTATTTTCTTCAATTTCCATAAATAACCCTGCTTGTTGTGCACATGTGACGTGAAATGCGGCATAACAGCTCGTACGAGAACACTGGATGCAGGCACCAACATTTTTCTGTTTACACACATAACATGTAAATCTCCAGCGAGCTGATGGAATGCAGTTGATACCACAAATGGGTTCAAGAAACACAGTGTTTAAAAAATGAACTTCTGGTATCCATATGGCACAAACAACATGTGCCCATCTTTCGCCATCATCAGTTTGTTTAAATGCGCCAAACCGATTCGGACACAATACACACTGGACGGATTTTGATGGACTTAAAAAGCATCGACGACACAACCATTGGCCTAAGATAAAGAAAATACAATAAGTTTGCGTATAAAGAACAACTCAATTTCAGAGTTCAAGATAATAATCCTCATCTCAAAACTCATAGTAGTAGAAATAGGTATATACAATTCTTTCAACCAGACAAAGTAAGTGGGCTTCAAATTGAAGGTCATTTCTAACTTAATGAAGTGGAGTAAATTAAAAGTACGACTTACCTTCCGGTACATATGGAACACCGTAACATTCTTGATGTACAGCTAAATTGCACATATCACAAAACAATATTGCATTACAGTTTGAACATTCGCCATCAAGACATATACAACACAAAGCATCTTCGTCGATTGCCGGTCCGGATGAATGATCGCCTTGGCTTAATGCTTGAAAATGGGATTCTTTCTCTAAACGATCAATAATAAACTCGAATTCATCTCCAGTTACAGGTCGATAATTTCTTTTCGAACGTTCTTCATTCACTTGTCTTAGCCAAACAATATCCTAAACAAAATGAATGCCGTTGTAACAACAGATAAGATTAACAAGGCTATTCAGTTACCATTTCATCCATTTCAAATTCAACTTTTTCATCGAGTTCATTTGGCAACGGTTCAATATATCGAATGAATGTCGATGCACGTTCGAACGGTGCTTTATCTGAATAATCTTCTTTTTCTATCGACTTTTCTTCCTTATCATTTTTTTCATGTTTATCTGACGTTTGTGTTTTGATTAGCAACGGTGATGCATTGTGTTTAGCTATTATTTCAATTTCTTCATTAATCGAAATTTTAATTGAACGTCCAACACATTCGTTTAACTCTAATATATGTGGCGGTGAAGAAGGAGCTGCATTAACATTCGCAGGAGATGGAAGTGAAGAAGAGGACTCGTCTTTCGATAGATTACTAGTTTTCGTTGATGGAGGATTACTTTTTGTCGTTTCACCCGCAGCTGCACGGGCTAATTGTGCACTGCGACGAGTACGCAACATCTGAAATAAAAAAAAGTTATTCAGCAAAATGGAATCACTACATACACTGCTAAATAGTGTTTTTAATGGTACGGTAGTCGTTTTACATTGTAAACCTCCATGAAAAATTGAATACCGCGGTGCTTTAAAATTTCCACTGTGTATCTAACTGCACAACTTCATTAGCGACTACTATGATGAAAGTTTCCACTGTGATATTGATTCCATAGTGAAAAATCCACCGTACCAGAGATTTCTATTAAGATTACTACTGCTAAAGCGTTAGTGTATAGCGCGTTTCGTTCATAGACTCAATGTTGTAGAATGCAATTTACATGAGTATCGCACGTTAATTATTAGGTTTATAGTTTTGAGAGTCTGCATCCACATTAAAAAAAAAGTCAAATAGATAGCCAGACCTGTTTAGACAAACGGTACTCAAAATAAGTTATTTGCACATTGGTCAAAAGGACGTCTAATGAAATTTAGCTTCAACAATAGCTGTTCTATTTTTTCTGAGTACCTTTGTACAACACTCCTAGCGATTTATGATAGTATTTTCAAGTGTCTAATTAACTTTTGCTTGAATAAACAATTTTTATTTATCGAATGTGTGAAATAGTAAAGAGTTACGCCATCTATCGTTTTCGTAAACACAACTTCTCATAATACGAGAAATATAGAAGCATTATTACTTTTTTATTGAAATAAACGTGTTTCGAACCGATTGATCAAAAAGCTTTTCTGGTAAGTTTATTGTTGTACTATTCTTGTTCCCTTGACTTTAGTCTAGCATCTTACAAAATGGTTGTCTGTGATACGGACATCAACACACACACACACACACGCACGCAGGCAGGGGTTGTGACAGACAGACTCTGTGTGTGTGTCTGTGTGTCTGTCTGCGTGCAAAATACGGACAAATGCCTGTCAGATATCCTATGAATAAGCGAATCATAAGCGAGAAGCATAAAAAATTTCTTTTCAACCACGCGAAAGAAAATATTCAAAGAGATGATCTCAAATATCTACTGATGCAAAGAGAAAAAAACCTAAGCAAACATTTTCTGTAGGCAGGAGATAGATGTCGCGCGATAGCAGTCAACTGTGATAATACCAAAACCAGTCGTTTACGGATAATAAAACTTAGTATACAGATAATCTATCATAGCGAATCGATCAGATATACTTCCAACCTCCTTGGGATCGGCAGAGGGTGTCCAGAAAACCTTTTAGCTTTATACATAAGATGGGTTTTCCGTGGAATCAGAGAAGTTCAGCGCGTCTCAGTTATACTGGTTTTGAATTCAGAAATATCTTAGATCTCTGGTGATCTTTGCAGGGCCTCGACACAACCTTTTAGGTTTACATTGGATTACGAACCTTATACAACAAATCAAAGAAAAATTTAGAACATATTTCAGATAGTGCCCTAGCGAACGCCAACCGAAAGGAGGAGTATGCGTTGTCGTGGATTCAAAAGTGATGGAGGGTTGTTCGTAGATATAAGTTCCTAAAGTCAAGGGACTGAGCGAGTGCAGACGAGCGTTATGTTGTTGAGATTCTACAGAGACTAAGGGATTAAGTCTTTGAATGCATGTCCCATAGATAACTGTCCTGCCACCCTAGTGGGAACGGATACCTCATCTAATTCTTGCAGTGGACTTTAATTAGACGCTCCGCACTTGATCGGGTTCGGGTTTATCTGATTGTTTTTAGGAAATTGACCACCTCTCTTCTCTTCATACGACAGATCATCAGCTAGAGCAATCACAACAGGTCCATCTCACGCATCCTTAGTAAATGTTGGCTCCCACTGGTGGGGAGCCGTGGCTTTTTACTCTGCTCGATATGTGTGGAAATAACAAGTTTGGGCATATCGCCCAGACACATTGACATACTATGCCACCAAAATACACACAAATTGCGTGTGTAGCTTATTGCAAATGAGCAATAACTTACGAGAGAACATCTCCAACTGTCGGACGCCGGTATTTTGGCTACGAATAGCGCTCTATGAGATTAAGAAAATTCTAAAAGAGTTCGTTCCGATGGCCCTCCGGAATCGAGGTTTGAAATCTCTTCTACATCAAGACAAGTCATTTTTTCATATTTTGGTCAATTTTTTCTCCGTTATGCTAAGGACTAGAGATTTGAAATTTTTAACATATATCCTTCATCTTATCTATTACAAGCCTCTAACGCTTTAACTCAAAAGGTTCTGCGAATCGTACAATATAGATATTTCAAGTGGACATTACTAGAGCACAGCGGAGAAAGGGAAAAAGAGTGAACAAATATATATATATATATTTTTCTGTATGGAGACCACGTGGGCGGCAATGAAGGTGTACGTGATGCTATTAGATTCGATCACTCTCTTTCGTTTCTTCCCAAAAATGACTAGAAGAGATTGCAAACCTCGGTCCCGGAGGGCCATCGGAACGAATTCTTTTAGAATTTTCTTAATCTCATAGAGAGCTATTCGTAGCCAACATAACGGCGTCGACAGTTAGAGATGTCCCCTCGTTAGTCTCTATCGTGTTCTTTGTATTTAGAGTGAACTACGGGTCTTAAGTATTCATCAGAGACTATAAGAAACTGTGTCATCGGACAGCGGTATTGTGGAGGGAGTGAATCCACGCTTTTTGGATGATGTTGGAAACGAACCTAAACAAATGTTAGCACCCATCTCGGGCTATGACAAGAAACCACTAATGTCGTTAGAAGAAACTGTCAAGCCTCTTCTCAACATCCTTCCTGAACTGACACTATACATTTGGGTTGCTATGGAAAACTCGAAACATGGTTTGGATGGTCTCATTTCTGATGAGTCAGCTGCTATTCATTTATACACAATGGAATGGAGCGGACAGAAAAATAGTTTATATTATTTGCTTAATTGTGCATTACGTGAGATTGCTCGTCAGCGACTCATTCCATGGTCTGGATATTTGAAATTATTGTTAACAGCTCTGTTCAAACTACCACCGGTGGAAGCCACGGTTTGGAGGGGTGTACGCGCAGATTTAAGTCAAGAATATGTTGAAGGCAGTTTTCGCACATGGTGGGCACTATCATCTTGTACGAACAGAATTAAAGTTCTTGAATCACCTTCGTACATTGGAAACGTAGGTGTTCGTACTCTGTTTTCTATTAATTGTCAAAACGGAAAATCGATTCGAACTCATTCATATTTCAAGAAAGAAGATAAAATATTGTTGATGCCGGGTACGTGTTTCGAAGTTGTTACTGAAATGAATTTAGCAGAAGGTCTGCATATTATTCATCTGCAAGAAAAAGAGCCGCCGGTTCAACTGCTAACATCGCCTTTCGCTTTGGCTACAAATGTATCACAAAACTCATCTACGCTAGCGGATGCTGATGACATTGCTACACCCGAGAAAAATATTCTTGGAAATTTGTCGACTCGAGCTGAAGTAAGCTTTACACCAGAAATCATTAGTACGGAAGTTATACGCGAAGATGCTCCCATTATTCAATCCGTAGAAGAGCCGATTAATACTCCGCCGTTTGTCGGTTACTCAACAAAAGAACTATCACTTGTCAACACGTCATTTGGTTCATCGGATGCCAAAAATACAGAGCCTAAATTTTTGCCCCGGATTTCATTATCTCCTAAATTTCAGCTTGCTTTACTATGTACAGGCGATAACTGCCAGTTAGCAGATGAACTAAAAAGTATTTTCCGAAATTCGTTTGTAACTCTTTCAAATGTTGACATATGTGGAAAATATATTGCATTAATGAACGCTTTTCAGCTTGTATTCATCGTCAGCTGAAGCTATGGTCGAGAGCTCATGCCAATAATTCATGATTTACCTCAGTTGAAGGCAATCCATGCTTATACAATCGTTATCAAATAAATCTTTTCTCAATAAGCGTTTGAACTAAGGATTTTCGGCTGAAAGTCGAGGGTTTTTAGATGATCTTCTGCGATGGCTAAACATAAAGTTCTAAAAATTTTATTATTTCATTATTTGATAGTAAGCAGAACGCACTTAAAACATATATGGTTGCGGGTTTTGGACCTAGGTGGTTTTTTAGAAGTATTTAAGAAAACCATCAATCCAAAAAATAGAATACAGCGTAAATATTTCGACTGAATCCATAGAAGTGATAGTTCCATCATTGTACATAAACTGCACCTATCCTCAAAAAGTTTTGAATTTACTACCGCTTTTTAATCTTGGCTTTTAAAAGTCAAAGACTGATTTTATTCGTTTATTCGTTTCAAATATAGTGCTTTTGGATTCTTATCTTTCAAAAACATCTAAAAATAATATGCTAAAAATAAATTTTTCGAAGGATCTCGAAAAAGACCTAGTTTTTTAATATTTGTTTACTCTGTGCTAACATAGATTCTACAAATAGTAGAAAGATTGACTTTTCACTGTTTAGTATCTCCAATTTTGTTTGTAACGTTATTTTACTTTCTTGGATGAAACAGAAATGAACAAAGTTCAATTGAACTATTTTACATTAAAATAAGGTGGTTGTTGATCTATTTATGTTTTCTAGACTATCGTGATTGCTGATTTGTTTAACGACACACGAAAAGTTTTTAGAACGATCCATTAGAAAAAATGTCAAATAATAATTAGGATACAATGGAAATAAATTTAAATAATCGGGCATGCTTGATGATGGACCATTAATCGATGATGATGTTTGTAATAAAGCTAAAAATAGAAATGATAACAAATATAAGAATAAATATGTTGCATAATCGTGCCGAAATATGTAAATGTATTTATCAAATAGTAACCATAGACCACGCCACAAAAATATGCATGATATGAATGCTGATAGATGACGGATGTTGCGAGAGATTGTTGGAAAATTAATATTGATAAATGTACAAATTTTGTATTTCATATTTAAATTTTCGAAATAGTTTTGAAAATACATGAGAATAAAATACATGATATAGCCAATGATTAGACAAATACATGCTGATAGATTAATATTGTCTGGATATAAACATACGTCGAGATAGTAATAGAAACCTGCCCATGATAATATTGTTAATATGGAAACACAATATTCATATAAAATATAATTGATTATGTTAATAGCATATTGATTCATCTAAAATATTATAAGAAAAAACTTTATTTAACAGAATAATCGATAAAAAGAAAATGTTTACCTTTTCTGTTGAAAGTGGACATTCAATTTGTATAGAAAAATCGACGGAGTCATAACTAATTACTAATGGTGCACAAACTAAATTACATAAATTTCCATTTAAAACGATTAATACAAATATAGCAGCTAAACTAAGTAGTAATTTAAAATAATAATCATTCAGTATATATTGATCCCATAGAGTCCATAATGTTGTCCATTGAACAATATAAATTGTTCCAAGTATAAAAATATGAATTTTTAAAAATAAATAGTAACATACACTATGCGGACTATATTTGAACTTTATACAGTTGTAGACTAAATTTTGTGAAAGATAAATGACTAATAGAATAAATTGTGATATAAAATAAGGTATTATTAACGACAAATACCAATAGGGCTGGTTTGTTGTTGTTGTTTCATTCACTTTGCCAACTATTTCTGGTATGACATGCAAAGTCATATTAAATGAACTGGAAAACTTCAACGTAATTAATGTTAAATTCCATCCTGTTTGCCAAAATAAGGCTATAATTGGAAGTAGGATGAAACCACTGAATATAGGTTCAAAAGTAAATATTAAATTTTTACAAAATTTATAATATTTCAATTTTTCATCATTATCTTCCGAACTAATATTCAAAATATTGTCAGTTGTTGTTTTAGCAAATGCTTTTACACTACCATTAAGCTTTATTTCTGTGGAATCATGCCCATTATGTGATATTGTTTTTTGTGGTGAATATTTAGATATATTCGAGACGTTTGATAATCTAGGAACTATGACTTTTTCACGACATGTACTAAATATATTTGGAGACTTTTTATGAACATTGATTGTTGGATTAATTGTAGTTAATGATTCTTCATTTTCTGCTAGAGATGATGGTAAAATATATGTGCCACTGATCAACATCTATTTTCTGTATATTGTCAAATCTAATTGTTAACTGAACCTAAATTACATAATATTTATGTCATACCAGCTATGAGTCATGGCTAATAACAACGACAACCTGTGGATTTCCCCAGATAGTCATTAATGTTCACCTTTTTTCTCGCTTCCTTCTCTCAAATGGTGATGTGGAAAAAAAAACAGATAAAGAATGAAGAAGTCTAATGAAATCTTACTATAAGATCTTACATCAAGAATCAGTATCTATGTTTCTCTCTTACAAAACCTTACAAATTCTTATCCGAATCTTACAAAATTAGACGGAATCATACAAGAATCTTATAATATCTTACAGCAAGATTCTTTAACCTGAGCTGTAATGACACGCAGGCGGACGAAAGGTATCTTTCGCTTATAATATGAGACAAAAAGAAATCTCTGAAATATTCTACAGAAACGAAGACAGATATAAAATGCAAAATGGAAACGCTTAGTACAGAAATAAGGAATCTAAGTGAAGTGTTGTAATATGGAATCCAAGCAGATCCTAAGTGGTGGTATGAGGGAAAGAACGAACTTTTTCGCAACATATCTCAGTAAAAAGAGCGTAAACTTTTTTAGCGAAACGTTATATAACATTTCATCTTATGGTTCGTTGTTAGATGAGATCGAACCTAGTTTCTTGTTGAAGTTATCCGTAAATTATCATCCCTATTCTACAGAACCAAATGAAGATCTGTTACTCATGGAAATAAAGTCATTTTCAATTTCAAACATCAGAATTTTGTAAAGAAAGCAACTCTCTATAAAACCATAGTACTTTAAAAGATTCTTATGAACTCTGAAACACGCAAATACGAGAATACAAGGAGCCTTATGAATGATTACTGTATATGGGAATTGTTTGGTATCCATTATAGCTCAAAACAATTGCCTTTCTGGTTGCTTCTCATTGTCGTGATTTCTCCTGCAAAGCAACAGTTTTTTTTCTTTCTAAACCAGTTGATTTAAAACTAAGTAATAAATTTACACAACAAAGAGGGCCTAGCCCATTATATGTTGAGAGAAAGTGAAGCGACAAAGTAAAAGAGAGAAAAAAGAAAAAAAACCTAATTTGCATGAGAAAATCATTAAAACAATACATATAAACGCCCAGTTGAGCAACAGTTTTAGTATAGCCTAATGTCAATTTGGTACATCGCTCCCATTTTATCAATCTGGGGTCCATACGAACCCCAGGTTGTGATGAAGCGTTTGAGTCTAGATCGGGCTAGACTCTCCCATCAACAACAACTAAATGTAACTGACTGCACTGTAAAAAATAGTCGTAGATTAATAAACTATCAAAAAGGGTTTATTGAGACCAATAAACCTTTTAAAAAACACTTTTCCGTTTTTTATACCCAAAAAACTAAGAAGCGTTCGTGACAGATGCAAAATGAAACACGGGCGGTTTTTTATCAAAAATAAAAATCCCTTTTCAGTTTTTGTCGAGTTTAAAATATCAGCTAAAAATCTCTTCAGTTTTTTGTCGAGTCTAAAAAGCTAGCTAAAAAACTGAAGAGTTTTTTAGCTGATATTTTAGACTCGACAAAAACTGAAAAGGGATTTTTATTTTCTATAAAAAACCGCCCGTTTTTCATTTTGCATCTGTCACGAACGCTTCTTAGTTTTTTGGGTATAAAAAACGGAAAAGCGTTTTTTAAAACGTTTATTGGTCTCAATAAACCCTTTTTGATAGTTTATTAATCTACGACTATTTTTTACAGTGTGATGTTATCAGCGTACTCTACTAATCTTTGCTAAGGCATATCTAAAGAGGCGAGGTTTGATTTACTGTTGTGTGTTAGAGTCTAACCAAAATGTATGAAACTAGCTTAGTAGCTCAGCTACTGAGCGAGATATTCAAACAACATCGATTAACTTCGTTTATCATTTAATTATTTTAAACAAGCTCATTCGATAGAGTTCACTTTTTGTTAATTAAAATGGTTTTTTATAGGTATTTAAGAAAGACATCAATCCACTGTGAGTACACTGTCAGAAAGAAAACAGATATCACCAAACTTTTTGAGGATAGCTGCAGTTTATGTACAATGATGGAACTATCACTTCTATGGGTTCAGTCAAAATATTTACGCTGTATTTTTTGGATTGATGGTTTTCTTAAATACTTCTAAAACATAACCTAGGTCCAAAACCCGCAACCATATATGTTTTAAGTGCGTTCTGCTTACTATCAAATAATGAAATAATAAAATTTTTAGAACTTTATGTTTAGCCATCGCAGAAGATCATCTAATAGCCCTCGACTTTCAGCTGAAAATTCTTAGTTTCTCCAAAAAACCTCTGTTTTAAATAGCAAAAAGTGAACGCTTATTACGTCGAATGAGCTTATTTAAAAAATTAAATGATAACGGTGAATATTTTTAATTTCTATATACTTCCGTATAAGCATCCGAAAAGCCCGGGTTGTCGACTGGGTTTTCAAGAAGTCCAGTGTCAAGTCAGAATTAACCAAATTCAATGGCATCGTCAGATAGGGCAAGGTCGAAAACCCTTAAGACCCAGAGAGCATATTATGTGAGTGTTTTGTCTAGGCACTAGATAGTTTTAAGTCGATTTGAAAAGACGCTCGTTGAGAAAAGATTTATTTGATAAGGATTGTATAAATGCCTCCTATTGCTCTTGCGATAATACTACACAGTAAAGTATTTATCATTATTTATTGGCTGGTCCTCGAAACATCGCTGCTAGACAAAGTTATACGTACTCAACTAACGAACCTATTCTCTATTCTCACAATTAACCTAAAATCATCTGTGACTTATAATATTAAATTGAAAATTGTGAAGCCAGTAAATGTTTATGTAATTAGCTCAAAAAGATTGTTTGTGTCCGTTCGATAACGATACATATTTATTATATACACATACCGCAGCTGCATTGGGTTTTTGCATCTTTTTTTGGTTAAATTTGAGACCACTAAAACTCGATCAATCATATATTAATATATCATAATGGATTAAAAACGATTTTCTTACCAATGTGTCTCTTGTGAGACCTAACGATCAAGAGGCAGAAATAATGTTTCGGATCTCTACTAAATGCCATATCAAACCAATCAAACAAACTCAAGGCTCTCATATGTTATTAATGTATTTTACCTCATTAGTCAATAATAGGATAAATACCACGTTCATAATATCAGGTAAATTAACGGCTTTAGGTGAACTTTTTATTAGGAAGAAAGTTCTTATTACACTAAAAACATAAGGGAGTAAGGATGCTTTCAGACTTTTGACCATATGGAATTCCCAGATCTAGACCTCAGAGGTTCTGCATGGGAGTGATAAGAGAAGAGATCTGTGGATAAACCATTAGTTTATGTGCTAGAAAAATACTGAAATGATGGATTTTGAAGTTAATTAAGAAATAGAACGAGAAATACTAAAGAGAGAACCTAGTGTTATCACTTACAAGCTTTTAAAATCCATTTTCTTGACAGACGCGCGTAATAGTATTTGAAATATAAACATTTGCTGTATCATGTCTGATGTTATGCTTTATTTTTGCGGCCAAAAGTGTACATAGGAAACGAACGTCCAATAGTTGTATTGTTCCTTGAATAAATAGAAATAAATAAAATAGAGCTGAATAATTTTTTATTCTATTTCAAAGTTTAAAGTTTATAACTCGAAAAATAGTGCATCGTTTCTGAAATGGAAAGAGCAAATACTTTGAATTCCTCTGCAACTGTGCATGGGCTATTGTAAAACTAAATAATGCATATTTTTAAGGCTAAAACTAACACACTCGAAGTGGTTTCTTATTTGTTTCAAAATTACCGCTAATAAAAGTCAATTAGAACATTTTTAACATATAAATATTATACGATAGTAAATAACATAATTAGACTATGTTAATTTGTTTTTTTAATGATGAATAGAATAGAGCAGCTGATGTGTGTTAGCTTAATGCGTTAACTTACATGTCATTTATATTTTATGCTACCTATTGGGTAGAAACGATCAGAAAATAAACATGCCTTTCTCGACATGATATTACAATCCAATAAAGTCAATAATACCTAGTACGCTTATATATTCACTTCAATATCGCTGATTATCATTTAAAAAAACAAATTTTTTGTAGTGATAAGACAAACAGGAATAATGTTTCGAAATATAATTTAGTAGAAACATAACAACTATTTAGATATATACAGAGGTTTAGCTTTGACGTTATTCATGTTTAACAGTTTGTAAAAGTAGTAATAAAATGAGTTAACGCATATGTAAATATATGATGCTCTGTTGTATAACACTAAGACTGACTTCTTACTCACAAATAAATCAAGGTCGCTTACTCAGAATTTGGAAGGAAATGACATTTCAAAAGTCATTGGAAAGTTTGCTTCTTTAAACGATAAATCAGTGATATTCACACCCAAATATCTCAAAAAACTAAAAGGGGTCCTTTTCTAAAAAATAGGTCAGTATCGTATACTTTAAACTAGTAGAAGAAATGGAAATGGGATTTTCCTAATTAATGTAATTTTAGTTCGCGAAGTTGACACAATACGAAATAAATTTATAGTGAGCACTCTCCTCCTTGAATATACAACAGATGAACATTTTATGAAAATATAAAATCTGTTCCTTTCTTATTTTATTCTTTAAACAAAAAAAAGAATAGTTTCTCTTATAGGAGGAAACTCATCTTTCATCATGACTAAATCTTGTGAACATAACGAGATGACACTCTTCGTATTACTTCGTTTTTTTGTAAACTGATAACCATTTAAATTCAGCACAGCTTTGTTTTTCTCGATTTCTATGAAACTCAAACTTCATTCACACGACAACTTTTGGTCAAATGTAGATTTTTCTGCTTTAGGTACGTTTCCTTAGATATGTTTATTTATTTTAAGCTGACGAACATGGATGAAACTCTTGTTATTTTGAAGAACATAAAGGGAACTAAGTATTTAAAAAATGTGACGAATTGAGACTAAAAAA